CGGACGGATGTCAGGTCTCCGTCGATGCCTCTCTGAGATCTTCGGACCATTGTCTGATCCGGAGTGCGATGCCACTCATGCTCCAATCGCAGTTGTTATCTGCAGCTTACCACCGTGTTTGGCACTATAGGTTTGCGGATTGGGCCGGGATGCGGTCTTTTTTTGCATCCAAACCTTGAGGGCGGGTTTGTTCTCACCGGAATATCCCGGCGTTGTTGCCGATTTTGTTGCTGATGCGGTATTTCAGGGTATGGAACTTTTTATTCCATCCTCTGTGGTGCCCATCGGAAGCAGATCTCAGCCATGGTTTGGTTCCACCTGTGAAACAGCATCACGCTATAAGTAGGAGTGCTACCGGGCCTGGGTTGATGCATCAACGTCTCGGGATATAAACATGAGCGCTCTTAAAAAGAAGTATAATTCCGCCTCCAATTCCTTCAAAAGCGTCACTGCCAAGGCAAGGTCTGAGCACATCGGCAGAATTGGCGAGAATCTAGTCCGCCTTATTTCGGGAACCCGTGCATTCTGGTCTCTCGCCAAGGCTGTCCAAGGGAACTTCTGTCAGCCATCTCTTCCACTCACTGGCCCATGCCGCAAAGGAGAAAAGCGATCTGTTGAGCTTTGTCTTTGCATCCAACTCGACTCTAGATGATGGGGAGAACATACCGCCGACCATCCCGCGATGTGAGTGCTCCATGCCGAATGTGCAGTTAACACAGCACTCGGTTCACAAAGCACTCTTCTCCCTGGACGTCAGCAAGTCGAGTGGGCCCGATGGAGTTCCTCCCATTGTGCTGAAGACGTGTGCTCCGGAGTTGGCACCGATTTTAACGCGCCTTTTCCGGTACTCCTACTCCCAAGGCGTAGTCGCGAATTCATGGAAGACAGCTTTGGTCCACCCAATACTTAAAAAAGGCGACCGCTCAGACCCGTCCAACTACAGGCCTATTGCCATCACCTCCTTGTCTCCAAAATAATGTAATCTATTATAAACTGCTCATGAGGTACCTTGAGGATCACCAGCTGATTATTGACCGCCAGTACGGTTTTCGTCGGGGTCGATCAGCTGGTGATCTTTTGGTCTACCTAACTTATAGATGGGCGGAGGCAGTAGAGTCTAGAGTAGAGGCATTGGCCGTTAGTATGGACATAGCGAAGGCATTCGATCGGGTCTGGCACAAAGCGCTTCTTTCGAAGCTTCCTTCCTATGGGCTTCCCGAGAAATTGTGTAAATGGATCACCAGTTTCCTTGCTGATCGGAGCATCAAGGTCGTAGTAGACGGTGCATGCTGTGATTTCAAGCCTATCAACGCTGGTGTTCCACAAGGCTGCGTGCTATCACCAACGCTCTTTCTCCTGCATATCAATGTTGCTAACTGGTAACATTCATTACTATGCAGACGACAGCACTGGTGATGCCTTATATACCGGCCGTGCCAATATTTCTCGGGAAAACGTCGCCGATTACCGGAACAAACTTGTGTCTGAAGTCGAGTCTTTGCTGAACAAAGTATCGGATTGAGGGCGACTAAATCTAATCCAGTTCAATATCCAGAAGACACAAGTTTGGGCGTTTACCTCTAATAAGAACCTCTTTGTCGTATCTCCTCAGTTTCAAGGCACTTCCCTTGTTGCCTCAGCCAGTATCGGAATCCTCGGAGGCGACATATCGAATGGCAGGTTCGGCCTCACATGGAATACTGTTCCCATCTCTGGGCAGGGGCTCCCCAGTGCCAGCTCCTTGTCCAGGTGATTGGCGATTAGTTGCGTGGTTGGAGGGTAGGCGGGCGTTGCGCGGCGGTTTGTTTTCAATTTTAAAAACGGCTGCGTAAGTCCAGCGGTGATTGGTCGCATGTTCTTTCGCATGACGCAGTCGCACCCACATTAAGTAGGGAGCGGTTGCGCTACGGTCTGTATAAATAGGAGTTGTTTTGGCTCGACGCTCACTTAGTGGTCAGCCACCACAGAGTCTAGATTACCTGAAGAGTCCTCATGTAGATGCGAAACACGTGTTGTATTGTTGCCAGTGGTGTGTCTTTCCTAGTGTAGTGGTGTTGGGAGTAGTGGTGCTGGGATTAGTGGTGACGGTGATAGTACACGCAATTGAGGGAGAGCGGGAGGATCTCTCAGACTGGGTAAGACACATCATTTTATTTTGTCGAGCGGATGTACGCGAAATAATTTTTTGTCAACTTTAATTAAAAAATAATATTAAAATAAAACACAAGTTAACAAATGAACTAAGTAGAGTAGATACAAGATAGGATATATAGAAAATTCAACTCCTACGAGGGTAAAATAGAATGTTACATTTTGTATAAAACTTTTTATTTTCCACGGTAATCGATATGAAACATACTAAAAGTACTTAGGATGAAAAAGCCCTTTGAATAGCTAGGAGGGAGATGTACATAAATTACACCATTAACTTAAAAAATAAAATCACAAGTTAATAATTGAACTAAGTAGGGTTAGATTCAAGAAAGGATAAGAAGTGTGTTGATAAATATTAAAGTTGCAAATAATAAGTAGACTTTTAATAGAAAAAAGGATTAAACACGGCAAGCATTGGTACCGCTGTAACAGAAAATTATTTATTGAATAAGGGGATGAATGTATTGGAGTAGGAAGGGACAGAGTGGATTCACTAGTCGATAGACCTTTATCTAACTTAAATTCTGCGATCATTACCACTCCGAAATATGAGAAAGGAATGTTTTTAATAGCATGAGCTCTCCGTATTATGCGATCTTATAATAACCATGGGTCATGACTGTCTGGACGTTACAAGTCGGACGCAAGTAACACCATGGAGCGAAAAGCTTGTAATAATATATAAAATTATGTAAGAAAAACGCTTTTGTAAAATTTTATTGTATAAATCATGTCATTATTCTCATACACTAAAACACGAATTAAGTAAATCATTAAACAACCGGATAACCTGTCTGTCGCGACGTCCGCAGCGGGTCTGACGGATAAAGGCTCATAAGCACCACGCGGGGTTACTGCAATGCAGCTAGCCGTCCGGCTGACCGCAGGATGCGATAGCGAATGCGATCAACACGATTGTGGACAGCTGCATTTGCAACCACATATCTGCGTTTGAAGAACCATTTTCGTACCGTGAAAAATATGCCCCTACTCTTCCCATGCTCTTTGTTTTATAATTTTATCGGATTATTCTAGAAATTTGGTGTTCCAAATTACTAGCCGACTCTGGATCTCGATGATACATTTTTCGATATCAATCATAAACGTACCACGTGCACATAATCTCACTCAATGGCGGGCAGCCGCAAACTGAGCCGCACAGTGCGAATGACAACCCTCCGGTTGGCTATCATTTGAGTCGCAGCCCTCCGTGCAACCGGAGCGGTTTGCATGTAGCGAAATCGAAATGGATGTTACGTATATGGGTGTGGGCGCTAAAGCTCGATTTACACTTCGACAAGTACAGTAGCGAGTTAACTTGCGAAATTGGCGAGTAAAGTAAAAAACTCGTTTGAACGGCAATTAGCGAGTTGAGTCGGTGAGGTCGGGCTATTTTTCGGTGACTTAAGTTCGAAGTGTTGCCCTCCCGCTCGTCTCCCACTACCCGCAACTAAACTCGCCGCTCGTGTTACGAGGAAGCTTAGTTCAGTGCATAGGACGCAATGTGTTCGCGTTCGAACCTCAAATATAAAATTGAACCTCAAATATAAAACTCGCCACGAAGACATTTGAACGCTACTGACCACTTACGACACCCTCGGGAAGATATGGGGTAGTGGATCTTCAGGTATACCTCAAAACTTGAAACCAAGATTGTACAACCTGTGCGTTTTGCCAGTAAAAACTTATGGATCTAAGACGTGATCTTTTACTGCTGGCCGTATGAAAAATCTCAAGGCTGCTCAGTGAGCTCCATGGAAAGGTCTATGCTAGGGGTTTCTCCGCGTGATAAACTTAGAAATGAGTTTATCTGCAGTGGAACCAGAGTAATCGACATAACCTAACGGATTAAGTAAGCTGAAGTGACAATGGGCCGGCCATTAAGGTTCTCAAGTGGCAGCCTCGTACCATTAAATTTAAAGTAATTATATTTATTTAAGTCTATTCGTTTTCATCTTTTTATTCTAATGCTTAATTATGTAATTCTGTTGTTGGTTTTCTGATTTACCATAATGTTCTTTTGTCACCTACGAAATTATTTCCATACATCCCTGGTGGACAGGGAGAGAAAACTAAAACACGTTAAGTTCGTTCTTAACCCTTTTTATTTAAGTGCTATAAACAATAAATAAATCCTTATAAAAATATATCACTTCAATGTTATCTTACTTAAAAATTCACGCCAACGCAAGAAACATAAAAAATTCACACTATATAAAGGGCATCAATTATTTAAATAAACAATTGTTGTTAGATTATTCTTAATTCTAATAAATAATACGAGTAGTAAATAGTAAATAATAGTTAGTAATAATATGTTTTTTGTCAAACTAAATTATCTTTCGTTTTATATAACCTACACAAATAAAACCACGTTCTGTCTTATAATAAATCTTTTCGTCAAATAATTTTTACTTGCAGTGGAATCTGGTTACACTATGCTTGCTAGCTCGCACCATTTTCTCGACACACATGTACATATCTCACCGTGTCTTACATTGAGTCACACACACAAACCTGATACCAGAATTTACATATTTCGTTGCGATTGTTTACGACGACTCAGTCTTTATTTATTTATTGCTCTGAGATGTATAGATTCCTAAGTTTTTTCTCTTAATGCTTTAACTACGATTTTTGTTAATATAAGAAATTTTAAATATCTTCTTCTATAGACGGTTCAAATCAGTTCTGTGTTGGAAAGCCAAGTGTTGCAAGGGACTTGTATATATGATCTTAAATACTTTTGAGGAGCTAGGGATTCTTGGTTTAAAAACAAAACCAAGGAAGGACAAAACTAAACGAATTTAAATTGCGAATTATCTCCAAAAATTGTTGACAGCAAGATGACAATCCTATTTCAAACGATCTCGACTGGAATTGGTAATGTTTGAGATTACATTTTATTATTATTTAATGTAGTTTTAATGACTTACTAGAAGACTATTCTATTTTTCTTCTTAAACTACATAAATTGCATATGGACATACACCCACTATTTATATATATAAAATTATATGTCCCAAGTGAACGACTCTTCTATCAATACACAGTCTAAACCACCACAATGACAATTAAAGTAATTTGGACAGTAGCTGCCTTTTATGACTTTAGGTACTCTAAGAAGAAATTTTGAAAAACTCAACCTCTAACAGTGTGGAATAGATTTTACTGTATGTATCAAACCCTTATGAGGTGGGGGGCGGGGGAGTTTACACAGGTTTTCAAATTTGTATAGATTTATTTATTTAAAATATTTATTCATTGTTTTATTTATTTAAAAGCTGCTGAAGCCTGATAAAATGTGCAAAGTAAACGCACAGGGTTTGTGCTGGACGTAGAAGCGTAAAATGAAAATAATATCCTTGTTTTATTACGTAGGCATCCATTAAAAAGGGAATTTTGAAAAATGTTACCACTAATAGAATAAAACAGGGTGTTACAGCTTGTATAATACTTTTTATTTTCCGTGGTGACCGATATGAAACCTACTGAAAGTAGTCCAAATATAGTATGCCATCAAAAACATAACTTGTAAAAAAACAAGTCTCACAACTCAGTTCTTCTACCGTAAAAAGTTGTGAGATCATGTAATACCAAGTCGGTTAATTTATTCAGTCCCTACTTAAGGGTCCTTCTATCTTAAGTTATTACGTAATTAGCTAACCTAATAACATCTTATAGTGACCACATCAATAGTAAAAATCTTTTATATTTTAAATAAATATATTTTTTAGTTAGTTGCGATGGCATTTGATGGCATCTCATTTATTTTTGTAGATAGTTATATCAAGGTACCTATCTACACCTATTATTCCATTATATTACACATATAGGTACACTGATTCATTCACTGCAAATGTAACTTTGTAATCCTATATATTTATATGGGATTACAAAGTTATTTATGCAGTTGGTGTATCTTGAAAACTGGACCGAAATCGCAAAATATTTTAATTTTTTCTCGATTTATATACTAAACAATAGTTTTATTCCAAATTTGAAGCTTCTATGTCAGCTAGAAGTGCCTTAGAGTTTTGATGATCGGTCAGTCAGTGAGTGACAAAATTAAGAAACTTTGACTAGTTATAATTCTTAAACTACCGGTTCAAATTTAATGAAATTTGAAATATACCGAGTTTATACAATGTCTACTTGGTAACTGACAATTCAGGCTTTTTTAATTTTTTTTTAATTTATAGGATCGGGTGACAAACGAGCACACAGTCCACCTGATGGTAAGTGGTTACTGTGACACATAGACATCTACATCTATCCTCAATACAGACTCAAGATGCAGATGCGTTGTCACCCGTTAGGACTAAGATGGAATGCCTCTTTGCCAGTAAAAAGGGTCTCCGGTTCTCTACACTCACCATACGAAATACAGCAGCGTTAAGCTGCTATTTTACGCTGGGTTTCTGTGAGAGCGTGGTCCATCCCTGTTCAAGCCGACCCATTCGTGCTACAACTATAATATAGCTGCAGCATGGCTCTACCACGTAGGCTTCTAGTTTTATCCACAACGAAGTTATAGGGTTTCAAATATGGCCTGAACTGCTTCGGGAAAAGGATGGTGCGGCCGTGCCGCTCTTTTGCTCGACTTGGTGGGGGCACCGCCGTGCCCCCTGATAAAAGAATATCGCAATTTTTCGAAACAAAACCCCTTTACGGGGTCAGAGGCTGTTCCAATATGTAAGAAGATAATATTATTAACAGTTTTTTTTTAAATTAAAATCATGTTTATTAATATAACACTATAGTTCATTGTGTTTTGGGTTTATTAGTTATATTTGAATAATTCACATAACTAAATTATTTAAATTCAACTAATAAACTACAATTTTAATTAAGATTTATATTGATATAATAATATTAAGTGTCATTTAAATAAATTTTTAATACGAAAATTTACATTATCATACCAATTTGATCCACAAATAAGAATGAAATTCATAATCTGATTCAATTAATCTATACATATAATAAATTTATAGAAAAGTCTTGTCTGTAATTCTAATATTTTCTGGAAAAAAAAGACAATTCCAGGGGACTATATAAAGGGCATTGAAGCCAAATTAGTGGTTTTAAGAATTTTTGTCTGTCTATCTGTCTATCTGTATTCCCGATTCACGCAAAAACTACTGTACAGATTTACATGAAATTTTGATTGTAAGTACTTAGGAACCCGAGGCGTGTTATTGGCTACTTTTTATGGATTGTGGAACTTCAAAAAAGGAGGGTTAAGTATTTTCCTTCCTCAAGATGTTAATTTCTATTTTATATTATTGATCTCTAGTATACATACACATAGTCTCTCTAGTCTAGTATATATACGATTAACGTCGGTTAACTGTTACTGCGTCTCTTAATACGCAACGAATCGTTCAATAACTATAAAACCGAATTGAACCGTCCATAATTTACCGCTAGATTGGTATTTTTAAGAGATCGAGTTTAAAATTAATTTTATTATTTCAATTCTTCATTAATATTAGTTTTAGTATATTATTCAAGTAAATAAGTGAACAAGGACTATTTTAGTAATAAATTATGATAATTCCAAATTTATCAGCGACTGTATCAACAACATCATTGTCATAAAAAAGAAAAGGTCACTCATATGTTTGTTTCGCAATTTCGCAGGTGTTATATTTTTCTTATCTTTGAGATTTTAAATTTAGTTGACCTTGCCATCATTTGTGCTTTATCCTTATAATATTATCTAGCAAATATCCTTTCTTTTATAAATTAGCTTTAAAGTGCCTCAGTCTTGTTATGAGCACTTTCTAGGCTAGACTTGTGCCGTATTATTGTCCAATTAGAGTAACTTCATCATCATCATTACAGCCCTTCACAAGTCCACTGCTGAACATAGACCTCCCCCAAGGAATGCCACAAAGCACGGTCCTGAGCCACCTGCAACCATTGACTTCCTGCACATCTCACTAGGTCGTCACTCCATTTAGTGGAGGGACGCCCAACACTTCGCCTGCCGGTACGAGGCTGTCACTCGAGAACCTTTTTTCCCCATCGGTTGTCGGTTCTTCGAGCTATACGGCCGGCCCATTGCCACTTCAGCTTACTAATCCGTTGGGCTATGTCGGTCACTCTGGTTCTACTGCGGATATCCTCATTTCTGAGTTTATCACGCAGAGAAACTCCGAGCATAGCCCTATCCATAGCCCGCTGAGCAACCTTGAGCTTCCTCATCCGGCCAGCAGTGAAGGACCACGTCTCAATTCCGTATGTCATCACTGACAACACGCACTGGTTGTACAGTCTCGTTTTCAAGTTTTGAGGTATACCTGACGAGAAGATGTGCCGTAATTTCCCGAACGCTGTCAAACCGAGTTGAATCCGTCGATTGACCTCTCGGTCGAAGTTGGACTCACCTAGTCGGACTATTTGTCCCAGGTAAACATACTCGTCAACAACTTCGAGCTTAGTGCTCCCAACAACTACCGGCATAGGTGTGACATGGACATTAAACATGATCTTTGTTTTGTCCATGTTCATCTTAAGACCTATCCGTTGGGAGACACTATTGAGGTCATTGAGCATAGTGCTTAGGTCCACCAGCGATTCTGCCATAAGGACTATATCATCGGCAATCGAAGGTGAGTGATTTATTCGCCATTGATGTTGATTCCGTATCCTTTCCAGTCCAGAAAGCCATTCTAATCTCGCTCAGACTGACGTCCGGGATATCATCGGAATAATGTCGGATGAGACTCGCTTTTGGATCGTTACTCACACTTGCGTGTGGCTCCAACGATGACGTGTACAGCTGCCCATAGAACCTCTCAATCTCACTCAAAATATCAGGTGCCCCGGAAACGATGCTGCCACATTCTGTCTTCAGCTTTGACAGTTGGCTTTTTCTGGCAGACAGATATCTGGCAAAGACTTTGGAGCCTTGGTTCCGCTCGATCGCTTCTTCAATACGAGCTGTATTGAATTTGTCTAAGTCCCGCCGCATGCATTTAGAGATCTGTCTGTTCAGTTGCCTGTATGCTGTCAAATCTGTTGAAGAATGTAGCTTCATCTCCCGTCTAATAACCATGAGATTAAGAGTGTGATCGGAGAGTTTCTGTGTTCTTCCGCGGCGGGTCTTGCAGAACTTAGCTCCGACCGCATGGACAGTTTCCACGAGCTTGTCATTCATATCGTCCACTTCATTGCAGTCTTCTAGGCACTGAAAATGGTTTTGTAACTCGAGCTGAAAGGTTTCAGGACTTTGGATTAGAGCACGAGGGGGACGGAGCGTTGACTTCATTAGACGAGACCTCTCCAACTCATCGTTTAGGTTCAGTGTGCCTCTAACCATTCGGTGATCGCTGCCGGTTTCACCCTCGCGATCACTGAGACATCACTGAACAGTTGTCGTCTGGTCGTCATAATGAAGTCAATCTCATTTTTTGTCGAACCATCGGGGCTCGACTAGGTCTACTTCCTGTGGGACCGCTTCTGGAAGAAATATTTCATCACAAAGAGTCCCTCTTTCTCCATGAAGTTGGCCAGCTGTTGGCCCCTTGGATTCCGTTGCCCTAATCCGAAATTCCCTATTTTCAGCTCACCGTTCTCTCTTATGCCTAGTTTTGCGTTGAAGTCTCCCATTAACACTGTATAGTGGGTTTTGGAGGAATGCATGGCTCTAGAGATATCCTCATACATTTCCTCCACCTCCTCATCGGGGTTTGCCGAGGTTGGTGCGTAAACCTGTATGACCTTCAGCGAATACCGTTTGGTGATTCTGAGTATAAGGTACGCAACCCTCGTCGACACACTCTCAATCTTTACAAAGTTGTTAACGAGAGACTTGTGGACAATAAATCCGACACCTCCTTGGAACAGATGGTCGCCCTCCCGGTAACAGAACA